ACCCCAGCTGGAGTACTTCATCCAGGACTCCTGCAGCTCCATGGTCCTGGCCAGCCCTGAGCACCTGGAGCTCATAGGCCCTGTGGCCAGCCGACTTGGGGTCCCACTGCTGCCTGTCTCCCCTGACCTCTGCACTGGGACAGCAGAGGGCACAATAGGAGAAGAAGGGCCAGCACCTTACTGGGCAGAGTGGAACTGGAAGGAGCACGGTGTCATGATCATCTACACAAGCGGTACCACGGGCCCGCCCAAGGGAGTCCTCAGCTCCCATCACAACCTTAGTACCATGGTGAGTCCCCACGCTGCAGAGGGCATGCTGTGTCCATCTCCCGTAAACACGGTGGTCAGTCCCCACGCTGCAGAGGGCGTGCTGGGTCCTTCATGTGTAAGCACGGTGCTCAGTCCCCACACTGCTGAAGGGTATGCTGTGTCCATCGCCTGTAAACACGGTGGTCAGTCTCCACACTGCTGAAGGGTATTTTGTGTCCATCGCCTGTAAACACGGTTGTCAGTCCTCACACTGCAGAGGGCGTGTTCCATCACCTGTAAGCACGGTGGTCAGTCCCCATGCTGCAGAGGGCGTGCTCCATCACCTGTAAACACGGTGGCCAGTCCCCACACTGCAGAGGGCGTGCTGTGTCCATCACGCGCAAGCACGGTGGTCAGTCACCACACTGCAGAGGGCGTGCTCCATCACCCGTAAACATGGTGGTCAGTCCCACGCTGCAGAGGGTGTGCTGTGTCCATCGTCTGTAAGCACGGTGGTCAGTCCTCACACTGCAGAGGGCGTGTTCCATCACCTGTAAGCACGGTGGTCAGTCCCCACGCTGCAGAGGGCGTGCTCCTTCGCCTCTAAGCACGGTGGTCAGTCCCCACGCTGCAGAGGCGTGCTGTGTCCATCGTTTGTAAGCACAGTCGTTAGTCCCCACACTGCAGAGGGCATCCTCTATCGCCCGTGAGCATGGTGGTCAGTCCCCACGCTGCAGAGGGCATGCTGTGTCCATCACCCATAAACACGGTGGTCAGTCCCCACACTGCAGAGGGCGTGCTGTGTCCATCACCCATAAACACGGTGGTCAATCGCCACACTGCAGAGGGCGTGCTCCATCACCTGTAAGCACGGTGGTCAGTCCCCATGCTGCAGAGGGTGTGCTCCATCACGCGTAAACACGGTGGTCAGTCCCACGCTGCAGAGGGTGTGCTGCGTCCATCACACGTAAGCATGGTGGTCAGTCCCCGCGCTGCTGAAGGGTATGCTGTGTCCATCACCTGTAAGCATGGTGGTCAGTCCCAGCTCTGCAGAGGGCGTGCTATGTCCATTGGCTATGAAGTGGACAGGGA